GATTCATAACTATACAGCATCACTAGGAGAATGTCGATGTAAAAAGTTCAGTCTTTGTTATAGAGAGAAGCTTAGGGTCATTAAAAGAAAGGCATAATATATCTAAACCAATGCAGCCCACTCTCCTCCTCTTGTACAATTCTAGGCCTAGTTCACTGTCCATGCACAGTATCTATTCAGGGTATATCTATTGGTGGACCCATTCTATGGGTTATTCTTTCAACTGTATAATATAGTCTAAATAATAGGCATTCTTTATACATTTGGTTTTTCCGATGTAGACAAGGCCAAACTCTTTTGAGTGGTTATAGATGTCAGTTAGGACATTGCAGTACTCCTGGATTTGATGCAATCAATACAATGTCATCTACAAATAGGACAAGAATCAATTAAGAATTTACTAATCCATGTGCCCACTTTATTAATCACAGTGCCTACTACGTGCTTGGCACTGTGCTAAGCAGGGATAGAAGTACAAAGAATGAAACAATTCCTACTCACTCTTGAACTTACCTTCAAATGGGGGAGACAACAAGCATATTAAAAACGTATGTGTTATAAATATAAAATTGACCAATTAAAATATATACAAGGTAGTTTTGAGAGCAAGGGAACTAGCAGTACATCAGTCAACAAGCATTTATTAAGCATCTACTATGTACCAGGCACTGTGCTTAACACTAGGGGAATAAGGAAAGGCTTCATGCAGAAGATGGTGCATGAGCTAGATACATCTTGAGGAGAGGAACTCCATGAAGTAGGAGGCAGTGTATTGCAGGCATGGAGGATGGCCAGCACAAAGGAATGGTGGTGGGAGATAGAAGGCTGTGAGTAAGGAACAGAGGTCAGCTTGGCTAAATTACAGACTGTGAAAGGGGGAATAATGTCCAATAAGACTGGGGAAAAGAGGTTGGAGGGACGTTATATAAAGCTTTAAAAACTAAACAGAGAAGTTGATATTTTATCATAGAGGCAATGTGAAATCACTAAAGTTGGCTGAGTAAAGGAATCACATGATCTGCACTTAATGAAAATTACTTTGGCAGCTGCGTATTAGATGGACTATACTGTAGTTGTAAGAGACTTGAGGCCAGCAGACCAATTATGAGGCTGTTGCAATAATCTAGCCAAGAGATAAGAACTTGAACTAAAGTAAAAACTGCATGAATAGAGGGAAGGGCCCAGATGCAAGAAGGGTGAAGTGAGTATTGGTAAGATTTGGCATCTGATCAGATATGTGGGGAGAGAGACAGGGAGGAGTCCCAGATAATGCCAATGTTCTGAACCTAAGCCACTGGAAAGATAGTGGTGCCTTTGACAGAAATAGGGAAGTTTGGAAGAGGGGAGGGTTTAGGAGTTAAGATGAGTTCAGTTTTAGATAAAAATTTAAAGAGTCTCTAGGACATCCAGTTTGAAATTGGTTAGGCAATTGGTAATGTAGGACTGAAGCTCAATGGAAAGATTGAAGATAGATAGATAGATAGATAGATAGATAGATAGATAGATAGATAGATAGATAGAT